TTCACCGATCACCTTGCACGTCTACTCAGCGGATCCAAAGGAAGCGCGTATCCTCAGATTGGGTTTCAGCCTCCCAACTCCAATCCCTATCCTAGGACTGCGGACCGATGCCACTGCGGCCCCTACGAAAGCAATTATTCCACCATATCGTTCTTTAGGCAGAGCCCCTCCTCGCTCCGGACCAAGCGCATGTATTGGGAACTTGCTGCGTTCCAGAACGACCGGGACTTGCGTTAAATGGCATCTCTGGGCACCGCCGACGAGACCATTCGAAGCCTCGTAAAAACGCCCACCAAGACCTTGGCACAACGCCCTCACGCATGGAGCCGCGGATAAGGATTGGGCGACAGGGTGTTTCTTTTCAGCCGGCAGGACGAAGCTTTTCGCTGAGCTTCGCTCAGTAATGATAGTCACGTCGTGTCACAGCGCCTAAATTTCACACGATTCTCGCGGTCTGGTGTTGAGTTTCCAACACAGCGCGCATCAAACAGCGGACTCTTCCCCGCCATGCCCATCATCCGGGGGTTTTGTGGGGTGGCTTGGCAGCGCTAGAGTCGGCCGGACTCACATAGGCCGCCCCGCTCGCCAGGCATCGCGCACTCTGGTGCTCTCTGGAATTCCCGCTGTCCACTACTGGGATAAAGCTGACGAGAGCCCAGATGGCTGCATCGGATAAATGGAGCACTGGCCTCCTGCAATTCGCCAGTGCCGTCCAACGCCCACGGCGCGAGCGGAACAATGGAAGCTACTGGTTCTTGCATGGCAGCATCAAGCACCCTGCACCACCCTGCACCATGGATAGCGACAGCACTGGTATGAGGCTACTTGCGACGGTCTCTGAACCCGGGCTACCGTTAGCAAGCGATATCTGGGCACGGCATTTGCATTGACTTTTGGACTACCCGCACGTGGCCCACGGCGATACCGCAGGCAGTTTGTAATCGATGCGCTGCCCTGGCGAATAGCCTACGAATCCAAACACCTGGATGGCGCACACGATGTCATGCCTAGAAACGCCAAACAGCGCACCAAGCCGATCGTCCATGTGGTTGTCGCGTGGCCGTCCGCCGGATGGGATCCAAAAGATCAGCGAGCGTTGACTGAGCCCCTTGCCTGCTTCCACCCATCTCAACGTTCCGCAGCTCCTAATTGCGTGCTGCGCGATCATCTAGTTGCGTTGCTGCGGCACAGGTCGAATGCATGCCAAAATACGCCCACCTGCGACAGGGCTCCCTAGCTTGTTGTAAGCAGCCGTCAGCATCGGGAACGTGCTCTCTGGTCTTTTCGTAAACGTGGTAGAAGAGAGATTGGCCAACTACGCCGCAATGAAACATGGTATCAATACTGCGTACTGACATCTCAACACATGCAACATGCCTTCTGGCAGTATACGAAAGGCAAGTTCCAACACACAGTGATTGCTTTTTTCATCTTCAATTACGCGAGAGCATCTAGAATCAGGGTCTGGTTATCGCTTGATATTTACATATCTGCATTATCAGACGCGGACATCGGCTATGCGCGTCTAGCAAACTATCGAAACGCATCGTCTAAGCGCAGACGTCCAGTCTCGCTACCGATGGGTCGTGGTCGCTGACTTGCGCATCATACTCGGGCCATGTATTAACATGAATGTGCTCAAAGTCTGCCCTGCTCTTCTTGGCCAAGGACGGCGAGACGAACATGTGGTCCAGTTCCTGAGCGTTCATGTCGAAGAGATAGGTGTAGCGCTCGAGCTCGTCCTCGCGGACTACCTCGTCTAGATCCTTGAGCCCTGAGATCTTGGTGTACTCTTCGAGGGGTTGCACAAAGGCAAACTCGTTAAAGTCCCCTGCAGTCACGACGCGGGCGTTCTTGTCCTTGGAAAGGATATCCTGCAATTCAACGTCAGCCGTGCTCTCATCTACACTCCAACTTCATAGCTTCAGGGGCAGGAAAAGGCATTCCCTTCGTGCGAGCGTGGCGTTCTTGGTACCACCGAGGGACGGAGGTACGAGAAGCGTGCTGCAGCCACCCCTCTCCGCGCCGCCTTGCCGCATAGAGCCGCAACCGACATATCAACGTACCTTGACGAAATTTGCAGTGAGACGCGCCTGTTCGAGACGATCATCTAGAAGCATATCGTTAACGACTGTTGCACGAATCTACTCAGATTGATGAACTCACCTACGCCACCATTGACTGGTGGTCGAGCATCTCCATGCAAACTGCTTGATCCTCCCTTTGAGCCAAAGTGCACATTGACCGTGAAGAACACATTCGGCTTCTTCGCGCCGGCTTTTCCGATGACCTCCCATTGTGCAGCCAACGGCTTTCGGCTCGCTGTCCAGGCATCATTTGCCGGTGCGATACGTCCAGGGTTGTACTTCAATGTCGGGCCAGCAAGCACTTCGTTGGCATCGAGCGGACCGCCCGGGTTGGGCTTGTAGAGGCGAATCAAGTTCGGCTTGTACAGGTAGGCGACGCGGATGTTACCACCGGGCTGGCCACCGTCTTGATCGTCAACAGGCACAATATCGGTGAATGTGTAGTTTGGGCCACCGGCTGCTGAGATGGCAGCTGTGAGTGTGCTGAGGGTAAGGTTTGCGGATACGACTAGACATGTCAGACGATTCTGTTCAATGCGTGCGACGCGGGAGAGGAGTGCGGCTCGTATGCGCCCCGTCGCCGGGTACGACATTCGGTGAAGGAAGACGGAAACGCTGTGAAAGCTTTCTGTAGCACTTACCTGCGTCGTTGGTGGGACCATTGTCGTCTTGTACCTCCTGAATGAAGAGAATATCTGGGCTCTTCATGTAGTTCACGATGTGGTTGGCAAGATCAGGGTGGTGGTCAGATGTAGGCGCAAGGTTCTCGACGTTGTAGTCGCCAAAGGTAATGCCATCGCACTTGCCGCTCGATACAAGCTTGGTCGCCGGAGGAAGAACAGGCGTCTGGCTCTTAGTGACCTTGATAGCGGTAGTTGGGAGGATGCGGTAGAAGCCAAAAGCGTAGCTGACGATACCAGTAATCTCCTCGACTGAATCGCCCATCTTGGTGCCAGTGGGGTTCTTGGTTCCGTCGAGAGGAGTTCCGATAACGATGGCCTCTGGGTTGGCGTCTTTGTCGGTCAAGGTCAATCCACCACGGTCATTGCGACCAGAAACCTTCCAGCCTCCAGCTACCCAGGTGTCGCCGTACTGGTTGGGCTTGGTGAGCGCAGTAGGCTTCTTGACAGTGACCAATTCACCGGTCAAGCTCTCCCAGAAGTCAAGACCGTACTTCTTTGGCTGCAGCTCCGGGTTCGCAACGCTAATCTGCGACACGTTGTTTGGCACAGCGAATACATCTCCGCCATCCAGACTGCTGTATTGCTCATTCGGAGGGTCGCGGGTGTCTTTTCCGATAACCAGCGGCTTTACGGCAGCACCCGAGCTGAGTCGCCCCTGCAATACTGGTGTCGAGAGCTGAGTCAGGTAGATGTAGTCCTTGTTCGAGCGGTACTCGACCACCTTTCCTCCCACAACAATAGTATCGCCAACCGTCAAGTTCGCACCAAACGTGCGACCAAAAACGTATACAGACTCGGACGTCCGCTCGTCGCGGTCAGGCTGTGTCGATCGCAACCAAAGACCATCAGGTCCTTTTGCCGTAACAACACCGGTAACATTCGAAACCGTCTGATCTCTGTACGGCGAGAGAAACTTGTTCCCATTAATCTCCGCAATCGTCAGCGCAGTAGAAACTGCCACCGAGGCCGAAAGGGCGAGAAGTCGCGTCAAAGGCGCCATAACGAAGAGTAAAAACGAAGGGATGAACCGGAATAGCGTATCCCATAATTGAGGTTCCGGTCCTATCTTCTTATAATCCGCATTGCTACCATGCTACCATGCTACCAAGTCAAAAAGCGCGTTCCAAGAACCCGGTCCCGCTGCTGTCTATCAATGACGATCGCGCTACACTCCGCTTGACCTGTTCCTGACAGTTATCGCCGCTGGCCGTCCGACCCATCCGTTACTAAACACCAACCCACCTCTTGCTCGACTAACTCATCTTCGCAACTTGCCTATCACAGCCAGAGAACAACATGCCACCGGCCATGCGCGAGCGCCGATAGCCCTTGGCAATACCACTGATTCTCTTGACATCTTGTGCGTGTTTTCGACGCGTGCAGCGACGCGCGTGGTTTGGTTGGTCGGAGTGCAGCGCTGGACCCTGGTTTGGCGCGGGCCGCGGCTGTAGCTTCTTTGGGAAGGTGGGACGGTGATTGGTCCGAAAGCGCGTGGTTGGGGAGATTGGAGCGGCGACATCCGCTAGGCGTGGCGGAGGGCTGTCAATCAGGTGGGAGAGATAAGACACGTGTGAGGATGGCGCGATGGATGTCTTTATGCGTGGTATAGGAGAAGCGGCTTGGGAGGTGTGGCGGTGGAGTACACATGAGAGGCGGGTGGACGATGGACGATGGATCGTGGATGATGAGAGGATGGGAGCGAATGTGAGGGATGCACGTGGGCTGGGCACTGATCTGGACGGCTTGCGAAAATGGCGGATGTACGGCTTTGTGGGTATACAACCGGTGTCGACGCGGTTGTTACGTTATCTGAAGGTGCGCTACTCCTACTGCGTCTTTTACAGCTCATACACCTCATATAAGGAAAAGCTTCATCATGCTGGAGCCTACATCAACATGAACACATGAGAAGAAGGCGACGCGACGTCAATGTCGGCTCTATGGGGCTCGGTTCAGTTCTTCCTTTGAATATGGTGCATCGATTTCAACAACGGAGTACACATGTATGGGGACGAGGGAAGAGACGCAACACACGCAAAACCACAGTTATGCAGCATCAAGACCGCTGTTGAAAGCAAAGCAGCTTTCCGAGCTTGATTGCGGTAATAATGATACCGATGCTCGCCGACTTCTTACGACCTTACAATGCGCAATACCACGACCTCACTGCCTGCATCATATCTAACCCTGCCCAAAATAATAGCACCGCCCAGTTTCCAAAGTGTTCTGTCTACGCTTCATTGTCAGTATCTTCAAATCTTCTCCACTCTTTCTTCCAGAAGACATACTCATCGCGCTTGTAAATCACAAGTTGCCATTGGTTCGATTGTCGCTCATCCCTCTTCCTGCATGCCTCTGCAAGCGCTGCTTGCATCTGGGGGCTCGGAGTAGGACACGTCGGTCGCGCTGTGTTACCTGTTGAATTGATTAGCAGGGCGACGTACTGGAGAAGACTTGTGAAACATAGACACACCTATTTCGACATTGGCATCGCGACTTTCGACTTGCGCGGAGTGGGCGTTTCCGTCACGCTCACTCCTGTTGGGTCGTTTGGTCGGGTTTGTTTCGCAATCGCTTGTAGCAGCCAGTTCCTGGCTTGCCCGACGTTTCTTGCTAGTATTTGCGAGCGAAGACTTCGGTGATAGCGTCGCTTCCGGCCTGATAGGCGTCGGTCTCGAAGCCGCAGGGCGGATTATGGTGTGAGGAGCGGGATTGAGGTCGGCGGGCCTTGAAGCTACAGGCGGCTGTTCGAGGGCCATCATGACGATGGGATGTGTCAAATGGCCTATGTCGGTGGCTCTGTGGTGACTTCTACCTCGTAAAGACTGACTACTCAGTGGCTTGCGTGAATTAGGCGAGGGTTTTGATTGGCTCTTTCCTGGCATTCTCCATTTACCTGGTAGCACGGAGTTAGTATGCTGGTCTGAAGGGCTGGATTGCATATCGCTGACCTGAACTGAGCAATGCCAAATTCTCTTGGAACATTACACACAGCCGACTCGATTCCTTGGGCGGGGATGTCTCAACCGGTGGTGGCGACGACGCTGGCTCTGCTGGAAGACAGATGTGATGAGGCGGTGGTGAGTCTGGTGGAGCGACTGCATGAGGTATCGAAGACGTTGACGAAGTTTCCTTGGACCGTTCCAAAACGTTATCGTATTGCAACTGCATATGTCCTCGTTCGATATCATTGATCGCTTCCACGACCTGAATGAGCTCACCATCATCATCTGTGTGGGTCGAATGAGCGACCAGGCGACGGCATAGATCCAAGACAGGTCTCTTCGTAGTCTTATCGCCTTCTGTAAGCTCCAAGATGAGCTTTTGCGTTGCATGTTGAATGGCCTCTAGCAGGAGATCAAGCAACGATCGTGACGCCTGGCTTTCTCTGTAGTCTGCTTCCATGGCAGCGAGACGCCTGATCTCCGGTGAGCCACAGTCTTTGATTTCAAAGTATTCCCTTCGAATTCTGATTGCCTCGCGGGAAAAGTGCTCGCCTTCCAGGTACTCCTCAAGCAAAAAAGGATGCTTGACCAAGCTCTTTAGGGGAACTCCCGACATCGACCAGGAGCTGGGTACAACGAGCGGCTCAGAATCGAAAATCTTCTTTTTGGCGGTGCGAGCGATGTTATGTCGCAGGTCTAGACGACGCTTCACAGCGCGAAGCTCTTGTGCGGCTATCTCCTGCTGCATCTCCTGCATCTCCTGCTGCATATTGGCATGGTATTCCGCGTTGACGGCATCGATCGCGTTCCAGGATGCTGGTTTGAAGAAAGGAGGACTGGGCGGAGGCTCTGCAGTAACTTGAAGTTCTAAGTGCTCCGATTCTGTTGAACCGCTGACATTTGCGCAACGAACTGTGGTCTGCTGTGCGGCCAGTTCACCGGCGAGCGATAAAGGAAGGTCCATCGCGTATAGATCCGCGTTCGAGTCATCGATGTCAGAAGAAGGCATATCAACATCATTGTTCATATCGAGAGTGTGGATCGTGCTGATATGAGTATTGATACGCCTTGGGGGATACATCTGGAGTCGATACTGTGTTCGAAAGGCGAGTGAGGAAGACTAATGATCTCGCCAGGTCAGTATTCAGCTTTTCTCGCCGGGCGCTCACTTACTAATGCAACAGCGCTGTTGAAAAGACATCAATGTGAGAGTAAACAAATCAATATATTGAAGGTGAAAGAGCTCGCGGGTTAAAGCTCTTGCTTAAGTGAGGATGGAGCAATCACGATGCTCGCGTGGAATATAGTGCCTCGTACGCTACGTGGCAGGCGCGGAGGTAGACCACGTTCAGATGCCTTCACATCGTAGATTATTTCATTCCGCGACGCTCACAAGTACATCCGCACTAGGAGTGGCTATTATTCGTGTCGCATCCCTAAGCTGCTGCACACACGCTGTTACGTCTATGCAAATAGGCATCATGCAAGACAATGCATATTTCTACTCACATCTTTTTGTAAAATGCGACACAACTTCCAGCCACCCCTAGTGCCCTCGTGATGGCAAATGCATCTGATCGCTCCTCCCAAGATTGCGTAATCTTGGTAGCTCCTACACTCCAGGGACTACTACATGTTGATGAATAGGCAGTTTCGAAGATGATGTATGCTCCTACCCTAATTTATCCGTTGTGGAATGAGACACAGATCATGACCGCCTCTGGTGATACTGCGCCCTAAAGGGTTTAGCGTCCTCTCCTTTCAGATGCCCCATACACGAGTAAGCCACAACACTGGAAGCTGCAAGGGAAGTCACTTCAGCAATTACGGTATAGAAACAGCAGAATAGAGAGCAAAAGGCTATAAATTATAAGAAGCTAAGAATACACGCCCAGGCATCCGCCTCTCCGTACAAGCGAGACAGCTTGCAACAGGAGAGTGAAACGGAGGGTATATGCCCGAGTCGCTAGAAGAAGAAGAAAGTGGATATCAAAAACGACATGACAACATCAAGAGTACCCATCCGAAAGTCCATCCCAGAAAAGCCGAGTCCAAAGTCCTACATGTGCGGTCCCGGTTCCTGTTTTCCGTTGCCAGACCAAGACATACAACTCCCCTGGCCATACCTCATAGACCCGTAAACCTACAAAAGCTAGAACTAGTAAGAGATGTTTAGAAGGCAACACCAACAGCCCCTGGACTCATGACCATCGCACTTGCCCTGCCATTAACGCCAACGTCCTTAGCACTAATCTCCATACCCTTGAGCAGATCAAAGTTAGGACTCATAGGCGGCTTCACATTCATGACACCGCTCTTCCTTGTTGTCGCACTCAAGAGACCAGCCTCAGCCGCAATCTCCTTTTCCTTGACGAGCGTCAGGGGAGCAGGAACGCGCCTAAGCTTCCGTGGTGGCGAGCAAGTGGCAACTGTGGAAGCAAGCGAGTGGGTCGTCGGTGTGGGCGAGGTGGAGCGCGTGGAGGCGTAGGATGTAGTAGAGAAGAGCGTTACGGTAGCTGTGCCGTTACTTTCTTGGCTTTCTTGTCGGTTGTGTAGAGTGCGGGAGCCGGATGTTGAGGGGCGGGAGGTCGAGGTGGGGAGGGCAGGGTAGGGCGAGCATTGGTAGAAGGAGTCTGCTGTTTTTGGCGTCGCGGGTCGCGAGCTCGAGGCTAGGGTGGAGGTGGAGCGCTTGAGCCAGGCTCCTAAGCGGGCGATGGGTGTGGTGGGTGTAGCGGGTGGAGGCGGCGTGATGGGATTCGAGGTCAAGGGGCCGGTGTGAGCAAAGGATGGTGGGGAGAGTGTAAGGCCCATCGTTGCTCGTCGGGGCGCGGAAGCTTCTGGGGTGGTGGCGAGGGGCTTGAAGCCCAGAGGAGCTGAGAATGCAGAGCCGATATCTGAGAGAGTCTCAGAGCGGACATGCATACGCATGGACGGCGCAATGTAAGGTACGTGGTGAGACGGAGAGGGTGGAGGACGGTTGATGAGTGCGGGTGAGTGGGCGTGCGAGCGGTAGGCGCTGGCACGGCGCTCCTCGATTATGGTGTTCAGTTCGCGGATGGCATCATCAACGTCGGTTTTTGTACGGCGAAGACTGCCAGGGCGAGAAGCTGGTGCAGTATTGGCACGGTTGCGCGACGGCGATGGAAGACGTGAAAGCACACGAGCAGGTGACAAAGTGCCGGATGTGCGCGATCGCTGGATGGTGGGCTTCTCGAGCATCTGGTCAACGGCAATCGGCGAGTTCCCTGGCAAGTATGCAAGGGTGGGCGTGGCCATAGTACCCATGGTAGTTCCCGAGAGCCTCCTCTCATGGGTGGCGGTGCTCTTCTGGCTCTGGATACTGCTCCTTCGCGACGGCCCGCCAACTGGTTTACGTTGGATGACGAATGATGAGGCAGAAGGGTTTGAAGATACTGAGCTCGTACGTGAGTCTCTTACGCGGACATGGGCTTCAGCAGGACGCTCCAGGTGCGATGGTAGGCTAGCCCATGCATCCTCACCGTCGAAGTCAGGCAGTGGAGACAGATGGCCGCAACCGTCAGGAAGGTAGATGGATAGCTCAAGCGGACGGAAGCTACGACGACGACGAGTAGGCACGGAAGCATCATCGAGCATGGAAGGTAGATCGTCAAGACCATCGAAGTGCCGAAAGTTAGTTGGGCGGCTGATGCTAGGCCTTGAATGGGAACGCCTTGGTCGCGCAAGGGTCGAGATGCTTGCACGAGACGAAGCACGTGTAGCGTACTCGCGACTGTTGGAAACCCATTGCGAGACGTGACGGCTAACCGACTGGCTTGTCGATGGGCGTTGAAGTGTTGGCTCCGCGCAAGGTTGGGGTACGGGACGCGGTTGCTCGTAGCATATGCGCATATCAGTCTCCCCTATGCATCCAGATGTTAGCGTTATGTTGGATCGATCGGGATTGCCTTATGCGGCTCCAACATATTGGATGTCTGTTGGAGCATCGCCCGGGTATAGTCGTGCATCAAGCAGATTAAGGAGAGCGTAAGCGAGTGGCATGGTGCATCTCAACAAGAACGTTGGAATTGGGAACCAACGGACAGCAGACTGCTGTGATCGAGGCAGGAATCTGTAGAGACGACCGCAGAAAAGAGAGCGCAAAGTGAAGAGATAGTTGTGAGGATGGAGAGTGGAAGAAGGAATCGAACTTACCAGCAGCCCTGAGCGCATTTCTCCCGTCGTCCACAAAATCCTCTTTCGATGCACAGCATCCAAACTTGATGGCCAGCCATGGGGACCTGGGTTCCTTCTCTTGCATATTCCCGTAATTCATCTTCTTTTCACGCTGTAGACCAGTACAGCTAATAACCCATCATCAAAATGATCAAAAGCAGTCGAACAAGAAGCGTGACAGAGAGCGTGGTGCCTGAAGCAGGCAAAAGCAAAGACTAACAGATACTAGAAGAGAGTAGTAGAAGAAGGTTGGAGGAAAAGGTAAGGATGAGAGAGGAAAGGCTGACTGCGCGAACCATTCGGATAAAGTCGCAGCCTGTCGACGAATGTGTTGTCCTGCAACGGATGGTTCGCTTCTAGAATGCGCAAATCCTGGAGGTCTGGCCGTCAGGAACAGCGAACCACTCGCACTTCACAGGACGACAGTGGCTCGCATGTTATAGATGAGGCCTGTCCCTGACCATTCTGTACGCGCCCAATGGCAGCGCATCCCTACCATGGAGGTTGTCAACTTCACCAGCTAGCTCGTGTAGAGGCTTGCGCGCATTGAGGCGAAATGGTAGGGTGCCGGGTGTGATTGGCTAGGAAAATAGAGTAAGCGCTCGAGGCAGAGCGGAGACTCGCAGTAACGTGGACCAGTGACGAGGCAATAGCGCTTGCGGCTTGAAACTGCCAGAGGCCTTGTCGGCATGTGGCGCGCTGGGTCCCTTTTCGTTGGCATCAGGGCTGTTACTTCATATCGCCATGTTCGAGCATGCGCACAGCTGTCGCGTCCTTGGGCAGATCACCGCGACATGGCGGGGATGCCTTGGAACACTGGCTTTTATCTGCGACGTTTGAAACATGCGCATCGCAACGAGCGTCATTGTTTGAGACGCGCACAAATGGATTTCCGATATATGAGGGTAGTGTTGAGTTGATGGGTCCATGATGCCTGGGGTCTGGTGGAAGGTGCAAATCACGCGTGCGCTTGCCCCATCGGTTGCTGAGGCTCTCGCCAAGTTCGCTCCCGCACCGGCATGCATCCCAGGACGTGCGACAGCGAATCAGTCATCTACTCACGATCTCTGGTATAAACCTTCATGCTAGCGGGTAGTTTGCAATTGGTGAGATGCATAATTCATGAAACAAGCACGCAAGAAATCAACAGTCAACTCATCCAATCATAGACAGGAAATGGACTCCAGAGGCGACAGTGAGGAGAGTCTATTCATCTTCACCGGTGCCAGTGCATTGAGAGTCTTGGAGGCCTTATGAAAAAAGCTCGTCTCGTCCTGATTTGTACCCATTCCACAGAAGCGGAAGGGCAAATCTCCACCTATATCCCGTTTGGGGTGAAGGTTTTTATCGGGCTTGGTTCATTGGCCGCATGATTTAGATGACAGCGGAAACGAATGCACAATGCACAACGGACCGTACTTTGCACTTCTTAGGCAGATGTATAGTAGATGAATTTCGCCGTAGTTATGCTAAACGAACAAGGATATCGCTGACATTCTAACGCCGCAGGAAAAAGATATCGCAAGGTGTAATATGTGGCATAAGCTTGGGTATAAAACAGATCAATGGCCCAAAGTCTGACAATGAGTGCCTCCTTGAGATCGGGATCGGGATCGGGATCGGGATCGCGTCATCAGTCGGCATTCCAAGCGTTGCGCTCTTCTCTGAAACTGCCGTAGGACGGACTCGGATGATCCTCGGCCTCTTCACTGGTCTTCTGGTTGCTGACATCGCGCGTTTCCCAGTGATTGGCCTCGCTAACAATGTGCGGCTTGATGTCGTGTTTCCGCTGTTCCTCTTCGCTTTGGTTCTCGGTGAACGCATAGTTCAGGT